AAATGTATCAGGTTAAATCAGAGAAACATGAGCAGCACAAACAGAATTAAAAACAAACAAATAAAAAAACTCTCACCTTGACTCAGAAAGCCAAACATTATAACCTGAGTTACTGGAAACATCACTTGACCCTGACCACTGCTCAGAGTAGCGCTTCAGCAGTTACACTGCGACTCAGTGTTTTCTGTTTTTGTTTTAAGTTTTATTCTGGGAATTGTGACTTTCTGTCTTGTATTTCCTCTTTTACCTCTTTTAAAACACCCACGTCCAGTGTTCAGTGTTTTGGGTTTTGCATCACTGTTGTCTTGTCTAATTAGGTTCAGCTGTGTCTCCCTCCTGTCTGCCATTTTCTTGTTACCTTGTGTGTATATTTAGTGCGTGGTTACCTCTGTTCTTCGTTGCCGGTACATGTATTCCGTTACTCCCCAACACTGGAGGCTATAAGCAGATTCTGTTTCTGTTCTGTGATGAGCTCTGAAACATGACTGAAACTCTTCAAATAAGCCATTCCTCTGCAGATGATCTGTTAGCTGTTTGACAACTACTCTTTCAAGAATGTTTGACATGAAAGAAAGCTAAGACTAATTAGCTAAGACTGCTGGGTCAAGAGAAGGCTTTTTAAGTAACTGTTTAACTACTGCCAGCTTGAAGGCCTGTGGCACATAGCCGATTACTAGAGACAGGTTGATCATGTTTAAGATTGAAGCATTAATTAATGGCAGGACTTCTTTGCGCAGTCTTGTAGGAATGGGGTCTAAAAGACACGTTGATGGTTTGAGGAAGCAGTTACTGAAGTTAACTCAGAAAGACCAACTGGAGAAAAAGACTCTATATGAATATTAATGGCACTGAAAGTTGCTGTAGATAATGTTACATCTGTGAGACAATTATGAGTATTTTTTCTCTAATGGTTCAAATTTTATTTGTGAAGAAGTTCATGAAGTCATTTCTAGTTAACATTAAAGGAACGGTTGAGTCAAAAGAGCTCTGATTTTTTGTCAGCCTGGCTACAGTGCTGAAGAGAAACCTTGGGTTGTTCTTATTTTCTTTAATCAGTGATGAATAGAAAGATGTTCTAGCTTTACAGAGGGCTTTCTTATAATGCAGCAAACTAAAGCAAAAAGATGATCTTCTAACTTTGTTTTACGCCATTTTGTCTCCAGCTTATAAGTTATCTGCTTTAAGGTGCGTGTTTGAGAGTTATACCACAGAGTCAAGTACTTTTGATTTGAGGATCTCTTTTTCACATGAGCTACAGTAACCAGAGTCATACTTAGTGAGGAGGCAAAATTATTAACAAGATGATCGACCTCTGTTGGAGCAGCGTTCAGATAGCTGCTCTGCTCTATGTTGGTACAGGGTATTGAAGATGATAAAAGAGAGTGAATATTTCAGAATTCCCCAAAAGAAGTGTAGATGAGTATTTAGTGCTTGGTGAGGTTACTGTCAGCTCTGTGTTCACTGGTCTGTGTCAGAGTTTCTTCCTCTTCAGCAGCTGCAGTCAGTTCCTGCTGTAACAGCTCAGTGTCTCTGCAGTCTGACTGAGGGAGGTTTTTGTACGAGTACAAATCACTGTGTGAACACATCAGCACTGTTTATTTCATGGTAACTCTGACAGTAGTAAACTGCTGCATCTTCAGCCTGAACTCCACTGATGGTCATAGAGAAGTCAGAGCTGCTTCCACTGCCACTAAATCGAGTTGGTGTTCCTGACTGAAGCGTTTTTGCATATTTTATTAGGAGCTTTGGAGCCTGTCCAGATTTCTGCTGATACCAGTACATAGCATCATCACCATCATCAAATCTGTAAACAGCTTGGCTGGTCCTACAGGTCAGAGTGACAGTGTTTCCAGGAGTAAATGTCACTACTGGAGGTTGAGTCACAGTCACCTGACCGCTGCATCCTGCAGACAAAAACAAATCATTCATTTATCAGCAGAAATCAATGAGAGAAAAAGCAGCACATCATGTTTGAAATGTTGCTGAGTGAATGAACCTGTAAAACAGCAGCAGGTCAGCGTCCAGATGAGGATGGTGATGAGAGTCATGGTGGTTGTGCTTTCTGCTGTGTTGACTGACAGATGTGAGTCCTGCAGTGTTGAAGTCACAGGACTATAAACCTTCTCAGTTCTCTGGAGGATCAGCTGATGATGCAAAGCCTCCTCTCTATGGAAATCATTTCTCTGCTCTCAACACACTGAAGGCAACGTAGGCACAAAGTCAGAAGAATAATTGATTGAATTAATACCATTAATAATTTTATGCCATAGAGAAAAACATATTTGGAAACATATTTACGTATTTTTAACACCTGGATTAAAATGGCACTCTGGTCTGTATGCTCATTTTTGATTTTGATATCATAAATACAATATACCTGTATAACGTTCTTAAGTATATTGTCATAGTTTCACAATTCATGCTTTTTTGAGGTATTTCTGGTTGCTGTTTTAAACAGTGTTTTGTGTGTTTTAAAAAATTTATATGTGTAATGTGAAAATTCCGTTTTGTCGTTCAGTTCTTAATACTCAAAATACAGTAATGACAATTATGATTTAAATTCATTAAATAATTTTAAGTCACTTTAGTCAAATCATCTTCTGCATTTAATCAGGTGTACTGTGATGTTTTACTTGAAAAAAAGGTTCATTTTCAGTGGTTAGAGGTTTGTTCAGAGTGCAGGAGGTTTTTGTACGGCCACTTAATGAGTTTGTATCACTGTGGAACACTTTTGGTGGAGGAACCAAACTCATCGTTGGCTGTAAGTACCAGAAATTCGTAATTTTTGATAAACATAGTATTTATTAAGCATTTAAATCAATCTATTAAACAGAACTTCGATTAAATTCAGTGATTATTATTAATGTCATGGCAACATTTTGGAAGAAACTTTTCTTTAATCAATATTCATTCGGTCTTTTAAGGAACTGAACTTACAGAAAACAAATTTTGATGGTTTTTTGGGTTCATTTCACTTTAAATATTATCCGGTTACAATAATAAAATCTGTGATAGTGACGTTTTAGCTGACTTTGATTTAAAATGTATTTTTACTCAGGAATTATAAAATAAAAACAAATATTGAATTATGTTTTGTCGACTTATATTAGAAAAAAGAAATTAACTCAGTATATTTAGATCAATTTTGTGTTCATGGTTGATCAATTTTAAATGAAGTTTAAAGGAAGTGAAAGAAACAGATGTGAAGTTTTAACTGTATTCTCATGAGTGCTTTAGCTTTGTCAGTTTCAAATAAGAAAATTATCACAGGGTCAAGTTATTAACTGTAAAACATCATGAAATAATAAAGGTTTAAACAATAATCACTAAATATATATTTATTCCTATGTTTGTACATTTGTATCTCTTTTTTGGGTTATCTTCAACCTTTTCTCCTCCAGCGGGTGTGGTGAGGCCCACCCTCACTGTCCTCCCTCCATCCAAAGAGGAAGACAAACAGAGTAGTGCCACTGTGGTGTGTTTGGCCACCGGGGGCTTCCCCTCAAACTGGAATTTGGGCTGGAAGGTGGGGAGCACCAGCACATCCTCAGGGGTTTCAACCAGCCTGGAGGTCTTGGGGACAGACGGCCGCTACAGCTGGAGCAGCACCCTGAGCCTCTCTGCAGACCAGTGGAAGAAGGCGGGCTCAGTGAGCTGTGAGGCCAGTCTGAGTGGACAGAGTCCCGTCACTCAAACCCTGGACCCTGACCACTGCTCAGAGTAGAGCTTCAGCAACACTTCCTGTCTGCATATGATGTGTTTTATATTTTGATGAAGCTACATGTTTCTGCTGTTGCGATATTTCTGCAAACATTTGACTTTCTAATGATGTGCATGCTAAGTTTATCAGCTAATATTATCCATGTCGACTTTAAAAAAGGGTGTAATAAAAGTAAAAATCACAAAATAAAATCACAGCTTAAGAAAAATCACTTTTGTTTTGTTCTTGGGGAGAAGCTTTTAAAGGCTTATTTGTGTGCAAAGTCAGCGATTGCTGTTGACCTTTGAAACAAAAGATAAAGATACCAACTAAAATCCAGCTTTATACTGGTGAAGAGTTGGAAAATTTTCCATCACGAATGTAATATGGTCTTATATGTTGCAAAATGTAAAGTCGCTGCTGCCCTGCTACAGCTGAACTTTCCACCTCCCAAATCCAACTTTAACACCTGATTCCAACCCTCTGGTAGGAAACTGAAAAAACAAATACAAACAACATGTTCATGTATGGAATGCAATCATTGTTAAGTTCAAATCAAAGTAGCTGATTAAGTTAAAAACTGTGTACAGGGTCTGGGTTCAATATTTGGTTTTGATGACTAGATGAATTTTCTGTGCAAGTTTTTTGACTAAGACTTGGATTTTGAGCCTCTAAGCCCATCCAGTCTGGTTTTCTCAAGGAATTAATACTGCAAAAATCTGACTCAAAGTATCATCAAAGAACAACACATGTTCTCTTGCTTCCCTTCGTGGCCTTCTGGCAAACTGTAGAATTAATATTAAAATTTTACTAATCAAATTAATAAAATTAACCAAATACATTTTTCTGCAATTTTTGCTAGTTTTCGTTATCCCGATCATGTGGCGGTTTAATTTTGACCTTGTTGTCACCAATTAGTTTTAAATATGTATTTATGTATGCTGTGATATAAAAAAGTATTTCTTATAAGTTGATTTTATTTAAAATGTGAAGCACCCTATAACTTTGTGATTTAAAATGTACTGTATAAACAAAATTATTTTCATATTACCTTATTATCCACAGCAAATTAGAAGTAATACAAAATGTAGTGAGATAAGCATAATATGTTGCAGATTCTAAACAGTGTTACTTAATTTAAAATCTTCTTAATGATGTGATCAGGAATGAATACATATTTTAGTTTCCACCTCTGAAAGTGGACTCAGTGAACCAGTGATGCATGTCAGAGTCTGTATCAGAAGCTCACAGCTGCAACACTGCAAATAGTAACTGAGGGAGGTTTTTGTACGTCTCTGTATCACTGTGTGAACTCTGGGCCTCTATATGTTCCCATACAGTAGTAATCTCCTGCATCTGCAGCCTGAACTCCATTGATTGTCAAAGTGAACTCAGGCTCAGATCCACTGCTGCTGAAATGACTCGGAGTATCAGATTCACGGCTGCTGATTTGGTAAAACAGCAGTTTGGGAGGCTGTCCAGGTTTCTGTAGATACCAGCTGAGATCATTGTCAACTCCTTCACTGGCTGTACAGCTCAGAGAGACCGTCTCCCCCAAAGCAGCAGCTTTAAACACAGGAGACTGAGTCACAGATGAACTGGCATCTGATCCTGGAAATTAAAATATGTTACTTTGTTAAAATGACAGTGTGATGTAAAGTACAACATAACAGAGAATATAACAGAACCACATCACTCATCACCTTGAAGTCTGAGCATGATTGTGATGAGCAGTGAAGTCAGTAACATCATCATCATTATGATAAATCTCACTGTCAGAGACTCTGCACAGATGTTTCCCGCTGGTTCTTCTTAAACTGGTTTAGGATCAGTGAAGCACAGCAAGCATTCAAAACAGAACCTACAAACAAATACCTGTTTTTGTATGTGTGTGTGTGTGTGTGTGTGTGTGTGTGTGTGTGTGTGTGTGTGTGTGTGTGTGTGAGAGAGAGAGAGAGAGAGAGAGAGAGAGACTAGTTATTCTCATTGCAGTTGAAAACTCTACACCCGCAGCCTTCAGCCAAAGTGAAGAAATTTTTATGCAGCCATGAATCATTGTGTAAACACTTCACTACCATGGTAACCCACAGTAATAATCTGCAGCATCTACTGCCTGAAGATCACTGGTGGATAAAGTGTACTGAGAACCAGATCTACTGCCTTGGAGTCAAGATGGAGTTCCTGAGTTTGGGAGGCTGTCCAGGTTTCTAAAGGTACTAAGTCCAGCAACTCCCTGTGGTGCTGACGGTCACAGTCCCTTACAGGCTTGGCTTAACAGAGTCAGAAAACTTTTGGCAAATGACTTTGAAATGAGGACTAAAATGATGTGAATCTTGAGGAAAAAACAACAGAAAATGTATCAGGTTAAATCAGAGAAACATGAGCAGCACAAACAGAATTAAAAACAAACAAATAAAAAAACTCTCACCTTGACTCAGAAAGCCAAACATTATAACCTGAGTTACTGGAAACATCACTTGACCCTGACCACTGCTCAGAGTAGAGCTTCAGCAGTTACACTGCGACCCAGTGTTTTCTGTTTTTGTTTTAAGTTTTATTCTGGGAATTGTGACTTTCTGTCTTGTATTTCCTCTTTTACCTCTTTTAAAACACCCACGTCCAGTGTTCAGTGTTTTGGGTTTTGCATCACTGTTGTCTTGTCTAATTAGGTTCAGCTGTGTCTCCCTCCTGTCTGCCATTTTCTTGTTACCTTGTGTGTATATTTAGTGCGTGGTTACCTCTGTTCTTCGTTGCCGGTACATGTATTCCGTTACTCCCCAACACTGGAGGCTATAAGCAGATTCTGTTTCTGTGCTGTGATGAGCTCTGAAACATGACTGAAACTCTTCAAATAAGCCATTCCTCTGCAGATGATCTGTTAGCTGTTTGACAACTACTCTTTCAAGAATGTTTGACATGAAAGAAAGCTAAGACTAATTAGCTAAGACTGCTGGGTCAAGAGAAGGCTTTTTAAGTAACTGTTTAACTACTGCCAGCTTGAAGGTCTGTGGCACATAGCCGATTACTAGAGACAGGTTGATCATGTTTAAGATTGAAGCATTAATTAATGGCAGGACTTCTTTGCGCAGTCTTGTAGGAATGGGGTCTAAAAGACACGTTGATGGTTTGAGGAAGCAGTTACTGAAGTTAACTCAGAAAGACCAACTGCAGAAAAAGACTCTATATGAATATTAATGGCACTGAAAGTTGCTGTAGATAATGTTACATCTGTGAGACAATTATGAGTATTTTTTCTCTCTAATGGTTCAAATTTTATTTGTGAAGAAGTTCATGAAGTCATTTCTAGTTAACATTAAAGGAACGGTTGAGTCAAAAGAGCTCTGATTTTTTGTCAGCCTGGCTACAGTGCTGAAGAGAAACCTTGGGTTGTTCTTATTTTCTTTAATCAGTGATGAATAGAAAGATGTTCTAGCTTTACAGAGGGCTTTCTTATAATGCAGCAAACTAAAGCAAAAAGATGATCTTCTAACTTTGTTTTACGCCATTTCGTCTCCAGCTTATAAGTTATCTGCTTTAAGGTGCGTGTTTGAGAGTTATACCACAGAGTCAAGTACTTTTGATTTGAGGATCTCTTTTTCACATGAGCTACAGTAACCAGAGTCATACTTAGTGAGGAGGCAAAATTATTAACAAGATGATCGACCTCTGTTGGAGCAGCGTTCAGATAGCTGCTCTGCTCTATGTTGGTAAAGGGTATTGAAGATGATAAAAGAGAGTGAATATTTCAGAATTCCCCAAAAGAAGTGTAGATGAGTATTTAGTGCTTGGTGAGGTTACTGTCAGCTCTGTGTTCACTGGTCTGTGTCAGAGTTTCTTCCTCTTCAGCAGCTGCAGTCAGTTCCTGCTGTAACAGCTCAGTGTCTCTGCAGTCTGACTGAGGGAGGTTTTTGTACGACTACAAATTACTGTGTGAACACATCAGCACTGTTTATTTCATGGTAACTCTGACAGTAGTAAACTGCTGCATCTTCAGCCTGAACTCCACTGATGGTCATAGAGAAGTCAGAGCTGCTTCCACTGCCACTAAATCGAGTTGGTGTTCCTGACTGAAGCGTTTTTGCATATTTATTAGGAGCTTTGGAGCCTGTCCAGATTCTGCTGATACCAGTACATAGCATCATCACCATCATCAAATCTGTAAACAGCTTGGCTGGTCCTACAGGTCAGAGTGACAGTGTTTCCAGGAGTAAATGTCACTACTGGAGGTTGAGTCACAGTCACCTGACCGCTGCATCCTGCAGACAAAAACAAATCATTCATTATCAGCAGAAATCAATGAGAGAAAAAGCAGCACATCATGTTTGAAATGTTGCTGAGTGAATGAACCTGTAAAACAGCAGCAGGTCAGCGTCCAGATGAGGATGGTGATGAGAGTCATGGTGGTTGTGCTTTCTGCTGTGTTGACTGACAGATGTGAGTCCTGCAGTGTTGAACTCACAGGACTATAAACCTTCTCAGTTCTCTGGAGGATCAGCTGATGATGCAAAGCCTCCTCTCTATGGAAATCATTTCTCTGCTCTCAACACACTGAAGGCAACGTAGGCACAAAGTCAGAAGAATAATTGATTGAATTAATACCATTAATAATTTTATGCCATAGAGAAAAACATATTTGGAAACATATTTACGTATTTTTAACACCTGGATTAAAATGGCACTCTGGTCTGTATGCTCATTTTTGATTTTGATATCATAAATACAATATACCTGTATAACGTTCTTAAGTATATTGTCATAGTTTCACAATTCATGCTTTTTTGAGGATTTCTCGTTGCTGTTTTAAACAGTGTTTTGTGTGTTTTAAAAAATTTATATGTGTAATGTGAAAATTCCGTTTTGTCGTTCAGTTCTTAATACTCAAAATACAGTAATGACAATTATGATTTAAATTCATTAAATAATTTTTAGTCACTTTAGTCAAATCATCTTCTGCATTTAATCAGGTGTACTGTGATGTTTTACTTGAAAAAAAGGTTCATTTTCAGTGGTAGAGGTTTGTTCAGAGTGCAGGAGGTTTTTGTACGGCCACTTAATGAGTTTGTATCACTGTGGAACACTTTTGGTGGAGGAACCAAACTCATCGTTGGCTGTAAGTACCAGAAATTCGTAATTTTTGATAAACATAGTATTTATTAAGCATTTAAATCAATCTATTAAACAGAACTTTAATTAAATTCAGTGATTATTATTAATGTCATGGCAACATTTTGGAAGAACTTTTCTTAAATCAATATTCATTCGGTCTTTTAAGGAACTGAACTTACAGAAAACAAATTTTGATGGTTTTTTGGGTTCATTTCACTTTAAATATTATCCGGTTACAATAATAAAATCTGTGATAGTGACTTTTAGCTGACTTTGATTTAAAATGTATTTTTACTCAGGAATTATAAAATAAAAACAAATATTGAATTATGTTTTGTCGACTTATTTAGAAAAAAGAAATTAACTCAGTATATTTAGATCAATTTTGTGTTCATGGTTGATCAATTTCAAATGAAGTTTAAAGGAAGTGAAAGAAACAGATGTGAAGTTTTAACTGTATTCTCATGAGTGCTTTAGCTTTGTCAGTTTCAAATAAGAAAATTATCACAGGGTCAAGTTATTAACTGTAAAACATCATGAAATAATAAAGGTTTGATCAATAATCACTAAATATATATTTATTCCTATGTTTGTACATTTGTATCTCTTTTTTGGTTATCTTCAACCTTTTCTCCTCCAGCGGGTGTGGTGAGGCCCACCCTCACTGTCCTCCCTCCATCCAAAGAGGAAGACAAACAGAGTAGTGCCACTGTGGTGTGTTTGGCCACCGGGGGCTTCCCCTCAAACTGGAATTGGGCTGGAAGGTGGGGAGCACCAGCACATCCTCAGGGGTTTCAACCAGCCTGGAGGTCTTGGGGACAGACGGCCGCTACAGCTGGAGCAGCACCCTGAGCCTCTCTGCAGACCAGTGGAGAAGGCGGGCTCAGTGAGCTGTGAGGCCAGTCTGAGTGGACAGAGTCCCGTCATTCAAACCCTGGACCCTGACCACTGCTCAGAGTAGAGCTTCAGCAACACTTCCTGTCTGCATATGATGTGTTTTATATGTTTCTGCTGTTGCGATATTTCTGCAAACATTTGACTTTCTAATGATGTGCATGCTAAGTTTATCAGCTAATATTATCCATGTCGACTTTAAAAAAGGGTGTAATAAAAGTAAAAATCACAAAATAAAATCACAGCTTAAGAAAAATCACTTTTGTTTTGTTCTTGGGGAGAAGCTTTTAAAGGCTTATTTGTGTGCAAAGTCAGCGATTGCTGTTGACCTTTGAAACAAAAGATAAAGATACCAACTAAAATCCAGCTTTATACTGGTGAAGAGTTGGAAAATTTTCCATCACGAATGTAATATGGTCTTATATGTTGCAAAATGTAAAGTCGCTGCTGCCCTGCTACAGCTGAACTTTCAACCTCCCAAATCCAACTTTAACACCTGATTCCAACCCTCTGGTAGGAAACTGAAAAAACAAATACAAACAACATTTTCATGTATGGAATGCAATCATTGTTAAGTTCAAATCAAAGTAGCTGATTAAGTTAAAAACTGTGTACAGGGTCTGGGTTCAATATTTGGTTTTGATGACTAGATGAATTTTCTGTGCAAGTTTTTTGACTAAGACTTGGATTTTGAGCCTCTAAGCCCATCGAGTCTGGTTTTCTCAAGGAATTAATACTGCAAAAATCTGACTCAAAGTATCATCAAAGAACAC